TATGTGCACAAGTTCCTTCTCAAACCAGGCCTATTGTCCTGACTATCATTTATTTGTACAGTCATTTCCCCTGTCTCCTCTTATCAGATTATAATCACTTCAGGGCACAATGTCTCCCTTATCTTTGCAGAACCACTTAACTCAGGTGATTTTCAAACCTGGCTGTGCATTCAAGTCATTGCTAATTTAGCTTCCCCCACAGACATTCTGATTTAATTGATCTGAGAGGAAAGCCTTTAAGGTCTCACCAGATGATTCTAATATGCAGCCAAATTTGAGACCGATGTTTCATATATTGTAAGAACGCAGAACGAGTTAGATAAACTGAGTTGAATACTAAAACTGGTCCTGTGAGGTTTGGAAAGCACGTGTCTCACGTCTTATAGAAGCTGCGTCTAATGTAGTATCAAACTTAAAAATAAATGATACAGAATAAATAAATGTGTCTAACTGCATTGCCTGGAACTTTACCCTGGAGGCTAGTTCATTCTGGTTCAGATCCAAAAATGTAGGTCAATAACTCTAGGACTGGAGTTGACCTTCATTTTGGGCATCACAGAGGGGCCCTTTAAGGTGAAACCTCTGATGCTACTCTTGAATTGATGTGTAGACCAGGATATGTCTAAAATAACCTAAATCTTAGGCCAGGTGCAGTGGCTCATACCTATAATCCTAGCATTCTGGGAGGCTGAGGCAGGTGGATTGCTTGAGCTCAGAGTTCAAGATCAACCTGAGCACGAACGAGACTCCCATCTCTACTAATATTAGAAAAACTAGCCAGGTGTGGTGATATGCACCTGTAGTGCCAGCTACTCAGGAGTCTGAGACAGGAGTGTACTTGAACCCAAGAGTGTGAGGTTGTTGTGAGCTATGCTGCTACCATGGCATTCTAGCCAGGCATGCTAGTCTAAAAAAAAAAAAAAAAAAAAAATCAGTAAAAATAAAGTAGATCTTAAGAATGACTGATTTATGAAAACCCTAAAGATCTTGATGTAAACTGGCTTCATAAAAATTATTTTATTCATCTGAGCCCTGACATAGGTTTTTAATCTCTGCAGCTTCATTGGGATTCGTTGTGCAAGTGGTAAACCCTAAGACAAACTAGCCACCCTGGCCCTAGCTCAGCCACCATCCTGATCAGTTGAAAAGGCAAGAGGCATGAGGAGGTGATGGACCAGAGGTCACCAGAGGCATGGTTGTTCCACAGCCTTCACTTTGCTGTAACTCCTGGTTACGGATGATGCTGTTTTGGAGACCAGAACTCTGGGGAGGGCAGAGCAGCAGCCGCCTCATGTAGAAGGTACTTGGTATTGAGTGAAGATGATGGTGATAACAGGTAGGGATTTTCACTAGGCAAGTAAAGCACTATTATTTTTCCTCTTAAAACTAGCAAAAAAAAAAAGTTACAATAATACTTTTTGATGTAAGAGCTTGAAGGTCTCATTGTGGTTAACGAGGGAGAACAAATTGGCAGTTAATTTTAAATGCATCTTGTTCAAAATGCTATTGAAAAGCTGTATTAAAATATCACCAGTTGAGTTTATCTAGTCATTGCAGATAATCCTGGGGTTTCCTTGGGTCACACTGATTTAATTCAAAGAACTATTTAATCTTTCACATTAGTAATAATGTTATAATTATACAATTCCCTTCTTCTGTGGGTTCCGGTCCATTATTTTAACAACTAGGACATGCTTCCCAAGAGAATCTTTCTAGTTAAATAAAGAAAATGTGCCATCAAACCCAGGAGTTAAAAAAGTATGCTCCAATTTAACATTGTTTTTAATTAATTTGCCTTGAGAAATTTGAAGTGACTGCTCTCCATACAATAATAGAAACATTTACCAAAAGCTTACCAAAACTCTTTCTATCATGTTTTCTCCAAAAATGAAATTGAAACTGCAACTTCTAAAAGAACACGTATCTTCGTTTGGTTGACATCTAAAGAAAAGAAATAAGCATTTGCTATTTTAAATATGTGGATGAAGCCGCTTTAAACCTTAGCAGGTGAAACCAGGAGATGATTTAATAGATTTATGTAAAACACAAATATCTACTGCTAACTTTTATCTGAAGTTAATGAGATGTAAAGGAAAAATTGAGACAAGTGTTCCCAGAGGTCATTGTCAAAATATTCGCCAACTGTTACAGCAATGGCAAAGACCAGTCCTGGCTGCCTCGTGCCCACCACTGCAGCGGCTGTGTGATCACCAAGAAGGGTGTCCAGCCCTTACCTTTTTGCTTTTCTAGTACGGCTTGTCTAATCTCTACTCTTTTTCCCCAAGTGGCTGATGTTTCTAGCAGTCAGAGATCTCCAGAGCAAAAGCCAAGCAAATCTGTCTTGTCAGTTGTAATTGAGTGTGAATTGGTTTAATGACACCCCCACCCCCCACAAAACAGTTTTTAATGTTGAAAGTGTTTGGAGTGATAACAAACTGAAAGCCATTCACCCCTCTCTTTGTACACAGATGTGCTCAGCTTTCTTCATTGCATCCCCAGTAAGCACAGAGGCGAATGCTACTGTGCGTGGACAGAGCCTAATCATGAGTCCACTTATGTCCACAGCCAGGTTTAGTCTCTTCTCAGATCAAATATTCCTTCATCTCGGATAATACTAATAAACATTAACTTTCCATTTTGCAGACGTATACCACTTCCCTTGTCATCAATGCTAATAATGACAAAAATGATTTTAAAGAGGGGGAAAAAAGAATGCCACAGAAAGGGAAAGAAAGGCTACTCTGATAACCAGATTATTTTAAACTAAATAAAAATTTATCCCTTTTTGTGTTCTCACTCAAGTCAATGGAACAGCAAAGACAATTCAATATTAATATAATAATATTTAAATACTAGAGATGTTTTGAGAAGTGTTTTAAACTTGTGTTCTTAAAAAACTCTCCTTTTAAATGGAATCTTGGCGTTTTATCTGTATAACGTTAGAAAATTATTTGGGGGATGGTCATATGTATAAAAAAAAGCAAGAATAAAAGGATAACTCTTCTGTTTTCACATTATTAACTTACCCTACTGATGCTGCACCTAAAAAATGCTGGCTAGTAGACAACTGGACTGAAATTCTGCCACTCGGTAAGTTTTCACTTAGCAAATAGGAATTCTCACCAATCTGAAAGTAAAGAAAAATTCCATTAAAATTGCCTTCCTATAGAAGCAGCAGACAAGGGAACAACAGTTACAATTAAACCTATTGAAAGCTTAGTAATCATAATGTAGATGGAGTTCTCTGCTCCTGTTATTCATGAAGATGGGTCTGGAGTGCATCCCTGTATACCCTAATCTGCCAAAGCCATGCTGTGATGTCAACCAGTTTGAGATGTAGAAAATCCCCGTCCCTTCCTTGACCACTGGCTCTGGCTCTTGCTCATCTCAGTGCTCCCCGGATTCGTACAGGGGGTCCATGCTCTGGGGAACAAGGCACCCTGATTCCTACCACCTGGTACACTCAGCATTACGACAATATGACAAGATTTGTTCCAGGGAACAACTCTCCAGTTTAAGAGGACAAATTTAATAAGGTTACAAGGGACTTTTGCTATTTATCCCTGTTTTTTTGAGCCTGGCAGCTGCTTTAGCAACAGAACAAACCCCTGATTTTGGACGTGGGGCCCCAAACAACCTACAAAACAAAACAAAATGGATGAGGGATTGAGGTCAGGCCTACTGTCAAGGGTTTTCTCACCTTATTTTTTACTTTTTCTTTAGTCTTACAGGATTCCAATGCAGTGTGTCTAAATGTTTTTCTTACTTTTTCACAGCTTTGAGCTTGAGGTGGCTGCAAAATAGCAGGTCTGAGAACATGTTCAGAATGTTTCATGGGAGCTTTAAAAAATGGAATTAAAAGATCAGTGTATTTGTAATGAAATACTCCTTTCCTATTTCTAGGGAATATAATGCTTATTTTCTAAAGCCATGATTATATGAGGGACTAATGTTAACTGATCAAAGTCAAAATAGCTATTGAATTGCCTACTACTCACTCCCTGCCTAGCTTCTGGGGCTGCCTTACCAAATGTGTTCCTTCATGTTTCACCACTCTGCGCTACCTCCACACATCCCAACACACGCATAGATGAGCAGATTAAAACATAGATAATAAAATGTAAGATTTATGGCATTTTTATTTTTTTAATTTTTTATCATTTAATTTTTTTTATTAAATCATAAATGCATGGATCATATATACATTAATGCATTTATGGGGTACAATGTGCTGATTTTATATAGAATTAGGAACGCTTAAATCACACTGGTTAATATATACCTTATCTCATTTACTTAATTATTGTGTTAAGACATTTATACTCTAATAGATCTGGCATGTACCCTTGCATTATGCACCATAGGTGTGACCCCTCCATTCACCATCCCTCGATTTGACCTTCCCTCCCTTCCATCCCCCCCTCCTCATTCCTTCATCTTGGGCCATAGTTGTGATTATTCTTCATATGAAAGTGTGAGTGATTGTAAATTGGTTTCATAATAGTACTGAGTACACTGGATATTTTTTCTTCCATTCTTGAGATACTTTACTAAGTAGGATATGTTCCAGCTCCATCCATGTAAACATAAAAGAGGTAAAGTAAACTCTCCATCTTTTTTAAGGCTGCATAATATTCCATGGTGTACATATACCACAACTTATTAATCCATTCATGGGTTGATGGGCACTGTGGCTTCTTCCATGACTTGGCTACTATGAATTGAGATGCAATGAACAATCTGGTACAAATATTTTTGTTATAAAGTGATTTTTGGTCTTTTGGATATACACCTAGTAGAGGAATTGCAGGATCAAATGGCAGGTCTACTTTTAGATCCCTGAGTATTCTCCATACTTCTTTCCAAAAGGAACGTATTAGCTTGCACTCCCACCAGTAGGGCAGAAGCGTTCCCTTTTCTCCACATCCACAGATTTATGGCATTTTTAAAATAGAAGTTACATACCTTGTTGTGCACTGTTCATATCAGTATCACTGTGCACAAGAATTGATGTCATAAAAACATTGTTTTTCCTCACTGTAAGAAAAAAATATTTCAAATTTTTTAAAAAAAAATCTGAGTTTCTGCACTGTAATAATCCTGTTCCAAACTCACCAGTAGATGTCACTGTTTGCACTCATAGTGCAGTAAGCAGTGTGCATTTGCTCACTGGTTCTGCTAAAAATGGGATTGCCAGGTGAGTTCTGTTTACTTTCAGAAATCCAATTGAAAGTTAGGTCATTAATAGAAAGGGGAGCCTTTTTTGAGAATCATTAGTGTACTATGAGAAGTTCTACACATTATAAAATCTGAATTGGTAATTAACCTGTGCATTAGCATACAGCTCTTATAGAATATGATAAAACCCTTAGCAAGGTCTGCTCTCACCACTTTAATGTGTATATCTAAAGAGAGAAGTAACGTTGACCATTCTGCTAGGTTATTTTTCTTTAAGTGCGTGGGGAGGGTAAGAATGGTGGTGGCTGCAAGTATAGAATCTCTGTATGTTTCAGAGGGACCTCCTCTTGATTATAAATTGCAGAAACTGTAACCTTTGGCATTTGATTAATGGAAAAGAATTAATTCTTCAAAGTATTCTTCAAAATACTATGACATTATAAATGTTGGGGTAGAATTGGTTCTCTAACTCAAGGTCCATGAAATGGTTTTTATGATCTTTATTATTAAAAACCAACAATAATTGGGCCATATTTTTCTCCTTTCCAACACTACCTACATTCTGCGTAACATGAAATGGAATGGTGTTTACTGATATAGGTGTTCCCTTACTCATTCCTTCTTTCTTTGTGTGTGTGTGTGTCCAATAAAAAAAAATTCAAATGAATTGAAGCAGTTATCTAGATAACTTAAAGCTATCTCCTTGTTTTATGTACAAATATAACAAAATAGAACACCTTTGCCTCTGGTATTAGGATTTCTATTTCCCTTAAAGACTAGCTCATCAGTCAGGTTAGAAAGGGCCCACTGAGCTAGGAAGTATCTCTTCTGTGTCTAAAAGATGCCTGGCATAATGTTGCCCAGTCATACTTGTAATTATTAATAAAAATACAGATTAATTCAGTTAAAAACAAATTTTACTGGTAGGGAGGGATCAGCTCAAATGAAGTAAATAATTTGTATTTTTTATTTTTTAGTGTCAAACTTAATTTGAAAAAGGCAGTTGATTGTTCCGGAATAAAAATGCACAACAATAGAATCATCATTATTTAGTTATTATTTTGTTTTTAAAGACAGGATCTTGCTATGTTGCCCAGATTGCCCTTGAATTCCTGAGCTCAAGTGATCCTCCCACCTCAGCCTGCCGAATAGCTGGAACTGCACACTCATGCCACAGCACCCATTGGAAATCATCATTTTAATATGAAGAAAATCCCAACCATTTCAAATATTTTATTGTGATAAAATAGTTTTACTTAGCAAAATATTACAAATTTCAAGTAAAGAGAAGTAATGTTTTAATTAGTGAAAAGCTTTAATGGAATCCTATCCTAAACTTCAGAATATGAAGCTGAAGCTTATTATGTTATAAACTATTTATGTGGACAGTAATAAGTAAAATAAACCAAATCACTTTTACTTTATAGGGCTCCCTTATATAAAATAATGCTATTATCACACGCATGCCTTAAAAACATCAAGTTCACACTTCCTCAAGTGAACACATATAACATCTGAATTTGTGAACTTGGAATTCGTTAAGTTATTTTTCCACGCACATTTTGCTAAGGCCTCTATTTGAAATTTGTTGCTAAAATATCAGCATTTCATGAGAGCTGAGAAAGAAAACTCATCATTAAGAAGAGTGACTCTGAAAAGTCAAGAGTGGCAAACTTGAGGTTCTAGAACCTCTTTATTACCTGGCCCAGAAGGGGGGAAGGTTGGGAAGTCAGTGAAGGATGAAGATCTCATTCGCTTCTGTGACAAGGTTGACACTAAAAGCAGATTGCAAACTAAAGTCAATAAGAAAGTGGGTTTTTGTTTTAAGTTGGAGTTTTACTATTTTGGAAAATTTTATGTAACTAATTTAGAAATATTTTATTAATAAAAGGAGTGCCTCTGGTGAGGGAGATAGACTAATTTCCATGTTTCTAAAGTGCTCGTGTGTAAAGACACTCTATCAGGAATGAAGGTGACCCCAAGGAACTCACAATGGAAGAGACAGACGTACACATAGACGGCTGTATTACAAGGCAGCCGGCAATCAGACCCATTATAAAAGGAGTCACTGAAGTGCTTGAGTGTAGAAGAAAAGCAAACGAAATTACAATGTAAAAATCCTTTTAAAGGTTAGGTGCATGCCTTAAAAATGGCCATTTCACTTAATTACAAATCCAACACATGCACAAGGCAGAAGCTTCGGAAACCCAGCAAAACACAAAAGTGCAGGTGCCACGAAGGTGAAGAGAGGCACCACATCCCTTGTAATTCCACCGCTTAAGGCAGCCACTGCTAACATTGTGGCTCGTGTCCTTTTGGTAATTTTTTTTCTATGCTGATAAATGGAATTTTAAAATACTGATTCATTGTTAAATCCATTTTATAGCATGTTGTTTTCACATAACAATATATCACACTACTTACTCAGTGGGAAGAATTTTGACGTTAGCCTTTTGAAAAGTTTCTTAGTAATTTCACTATCAGAAGGAACATTCACAGCGGACAACAGTCAAGGCTGTACCTACCTTCTCGGGACTGAGAATCTGTATTATGCAAAGTAAAAGATGAAGACCGCACACGCTTTCTTGAAAAACCATTACTCTCTGCAAGAAATTGAATGGAAAGGGTGAAATGGCTGCATTAACAAAGTATCTTCAACCCACCATGTGGCAAGATAAACAGAATTTCCTTTGGTCTGCACAGATCATCTATTGATAACACATTAACTCCTGAAGCACAATTTTAAATACTGGGGTTTAGTATATTAGTTATTATAAACCTACAGGCATATTGTACTAGTATGAAACAATTAGAAATGAGTGGCTTCCACAAAAGAAAAATTGTATATGTGTCTGGGATTTTACGGAGAATGTTTCTGATGGGCTAAAGGGACAAGCAGTGGAGAATAATGAAATTTAGTCATTAACATCATTGTTCTCAGGGACCTACGTATTATCTTTCAAAACAAAAGCCAATCTATTTCCATGTTTAAAAACAAGGGAAACTAGTAATTTTTTCATAGTCTATGCCACATGCCAAGATTTATTTTCTTTGCATAAAGACCAATTTTGGAATACAGGATGTAAATCATTACCGAGTTCTGCTGCTTCATACAGGGTATCTTCTGCAGGTCTCTGGAGAGAAAAAAGCTGCTGATGAGAGTTAAATATTTTTATATCAGATTCCCACCCCGCCACTCTACAGAACTGTCAGAAGCCAGGGCCATTCAGCGCAGCCAGGACAAAACAGCTCATCTTTATTCACTAAAGCATGTAGTCAAGAAAAATCAACTTCTAATACAGTGGTTTATAATTCAATGACTACAAAATCCCTGTGGGAGTTTATTCAAATGGAGATTCTGAGGCCCTGATTCTGGAGATTCTGAAGTGGTTGGTCTAAGGTAAGGCTCTGGAACTTGCTTTTTAAACAAGGTCTTGGAGGTTGAATTTTTCTTTAGTTTGTTTTGGGATAGTAGGGTTAATTACCCACACGAGTAAGAATGACTATGAAGAAAATAATAATAAGTCAGAGTGTTACTAATCTTCTTGTCTTTGATAGCAGATGAGATTAATATGATGCTGGAAAAGCAGATGGGGTCCATGTGATCCCTTTTTAATCAAATCTCACAGTTTAGAATTTATTTTATGCCCAGTTTTAGGCTAGGTCAGTTGGGGGACCCATGACGAGCCTTAGCCCCCCTGATCTCCTTTTCAAATTACTCCAAATAAACATATTATTATAGTAAAACAGCATGTTATCCATAGCTTAAAGACAAGACCTCTGGCTTCCCATTCCAACCACATCGATGCCTGTAAATCCTGACTCTATAGATATTCTGGAGGCACTACTCTGCTTAGTGAAGAACAGCCGGATAAACCATGAAGCAATGATATCTTTTAGCACAGCTAGCTTCTTGAAATATCATTTTCTTCACCCTAGTAAAATGAAAGAAAAGTAGTTTGACCTTACCTTAAAAGTTTGCTCTCCCTTTTCAAAAACAAATATTGGTTGAGCAATGACAGATTTTTCTGTAAAAGAAAAAGAACAGTCAAGTAATCAAAGCATAATCCGACATTTCTAACACCAACTAAAAGTATTGTTTTTTATTTTCCCTGCTTTTGAATAGAATAAATCCAAGCTGTTCTACATGGATGCTGCAAAACCCATACTTGCAGATAATTTAACAGTTAATTACAGAAATAAATACTTGGAGAAAGTGATAGTATATTTCCATAAATGGATAATTCCATCAAAAGAACATACTTTAAATGTTCAAGGAAAACCAAATATAATTATCTTTCTTTAGACTCTCATCAGAACATAGTAATTAACACATTACTTTAAGAATACAAAATTTTGGCTGGGCACAGTGGCTCATGCCTGTAATCTCGGCACTCTGGCAGGCCGAGCCAGGAGGATGGCTTGCACTCAGAAGTTGAAAATGGCCTGAGCAAGAGCAAAATCCTGTCTCTACTAAAAATGGAAAAATTAGCTGGGCATTGTGGCGGGGGCCTATAGTCCCAGTGATTTGGGAGCCTAAGGTAGGAGGATCACTTGAACCCAGGAGCCGGATGTTGCTGTGAGGTGGGCTGACACCAAAGCACTCTGGCCTAGGCAATATAGTGATACTCTGTCTCAAAAAAAAAAAAAGAGAGAGAGAGAGAGAGAAAGAACAAAACATTTCAATGAGTGAAAAATCTCTTCTGGGAATAGTATTTCCACTTGGGTTGGATTTTAAAGTATTAATGGCATAGATGTACTGCCTTACATCCTTAAAATAATCCACAAATAATTCATGTTTTCTTCCCTAGAGTAGTCATATACTAAATTATAGTTTCAATATTTAGATTAAAAATAGTCTTAAACAGTGCTGTAAAGTAGGTAAAGTTTGTCTTCACCCTTGCCAGCCTTACTCATCTTTTATATTTTCCTGTCTTAGGTAAGATAATAACAGAAATCCATTCACTCTAGAATGTACACTACTGATAATAGCAATGGATGCCAGCACTCCAGAATTCTACTTAGGAGATACTTGGCAGTTAAGAGCTTGGGTTCTGGTAGGTGTTAAAATATAAGTTCCACCATTGACTGGCTATATATTATGCTTCAGGAAACTTAATGCACCTGTACCTTAAATTCTTCATCTGAAAAAAGAAAAGATTATGACAGTACTTACCTCATAGAATTTATATAAAGATTAAATGAGGTTCTTAGATGTAATTTCTTAGAATTTAACAAGGACACACAAAAAGCTTTAAAGAAAAGTGCAGGAGACACATGAAAAGAATCTTGGTAATAAGAAAACCGGGAAGGGATTGGTCTCTTGTTAAAAAGCATGAGAGCAGGGGAGGGGGGAATGGGTGGAGGGAGTGGGATTGGAGGGATCACTTCTGAGGTTT